ACGCATGGGGGGGTATCATGGGCGAAACAGTATACTCTGTTATATCCATGGTAGTGCTCATGTCTATAGGCGACGGTTACCACTTTCCATCAGGTGGGCCGTCAGCTTGTTTGCCATTCTAAGTTGTATAAAAAAAAAGATTTGATATAGGTAGGCAAAAGAATCACTGACAAAATGTCATTTCATATTAGACCCAAAATTAACATAATCTGACATTAATATTTCACTTTCAATACTAAACAGTAGCGAGTCTGACATTAAGTTATTACGAGTAAAAATCACTCTTTGTGACTTGTCACAAGGAATATCACTGTGAATGAAAAATAACGCCACTAAATGATAATAAATTAAATGTAATAATTTTAAATTACATAATGATATTCGTATCTGGTTTACATTACTTGTGTGCAAGTGAAATGTAGCAGGTTAGGATAAAGATATGCCAGTTGAATTAAACGAGAATTCAAACACGATGGTTTCCAAGGTGCGTGGAAATCAACTTGAGAAGGTATGTAGCTAGCAATTGAACTAGTAGTGCTTGTTACCAATAATTCCTTTTACCTCCTTCTTAGAGAGATCTATATTAACTTCTTATTCATAAAAACGTCAAAACATTCAAAAATCAATTTTAGCTATCGAAGTGTTTTGTCTTTTATTTTGCGCTAAATTTTCAATTTGAAAGAAGGTAACAAAACACTTCAGTAGCTATAATAGGTTTGTAGGACGTCTTAGTTTTTATGAATGAAAGGGGTACATCTCTAGAATCGGTATGTATGTAAAAATCTCACAAATACATCAAGACAGGTCATTGAGTATCAAAAAACAAGCCAAAATGACTGTTTTCGGTTGATTAGCTAACAGTGACTTTAGTAACATTTACTTAAAAAAAAACCTTTTTCAGTTTTTAAATAGGCAGTTCGATCAGGTAGATTTTATCGTTTCGCATTAAAACTATTTTTAAGCTACCTTTATTCTACACAAATGCTTCAGACACGGCTTTCAGCACTGAATACTTTCTAAATCTTCCAAATATGATTTTAAGAATTCATATCCTTATGCGGAGATTCAAGTTTTGGATTTTCGGACTGCAATCATCTTCAGTTATATTACTTTTTTTTATACAACTTAGAATGGCAAACAAGCTAACGGCCCACCTGATGAAAAGTGGTAACCGTCGCCTATAGACACGAGCACTACCATGGACATAACAGAGTATATTGTTTCGTCCATGATACCCCTCATGCGTTGCCATTCCTAAGGACTCAAATGTTATTCCTCTGTACTCTGTAAATTCACGCCATATCCCACCCTTCAAATCGAAACACAGCCATACAAATACAACTGTTTTGCGGTTGAAACACGAATGGGACAGAGGTACCCAATCAAACTACTTTTGTATAAAGTCTCCCTCTGATAAAACTTTATAAAGTATCTATCTATATATCTACATTCGCCAGTAATCGTTACAAGATCAATAGCGCAATAAGAGCTTGTAATTACAAAGCTAGGGGAACGACCCTTGGTAATTACTATCCAGCCCTTTATCAGCTGCACCAGACCCTTTGTTCTGAAAGTGTTTGGTTCATAGTTATTTAGCACGATTTTAGACAATTTTGTGTTTATTAATTCTCTTTGGTAATGCGGTATTATATTAGCTATTTTAATATATAACTCTAGTGTTATGGTTATTAGTAATTGTGAAACAATTGTATGTGTTAGTTTTTTTGATTGAAAATACTTTAGTAAATGAATGAATGAATGAATGAAGTATACTTTATTTGTATTTGTATTATCTATATCTATACTTATAATAAATCTGTAGAGAGATCAATTCTGTACATGAAATATATTTCCAAAATAACTATCAGGGGGTGATTAGTGATCGATACTGATGCCAAAAATGCAATCAGTAAAATTTTTGTCTGTCTGTCTGTATGTTCGTTGTAGAAACAAAAACTACTCGACGGATTTTAATGAAACTTGGTACAATTATTCTTCATGCTCTGGGCATGTTATAGTATACTTTTCATCACGCTACGATCAATAGGAGCAGAGCAGTGAAGGGAAACGTGTCTGTTACATTAAAACCACTGAACCGTGAGGAAGGACATAGGCTACTTATTTTACGAAAAACGACGGAAACGCGGACGAAGTCGCGGGCAACAGCTAGTAGGAAATAAATAAGACAATAAAAAAATATAACGATACAATAATTACAGTAAGGGGGTCTTATTGCTGAGAGTAACGGACTAATTGTTGTACATGTAGGTATGATAGTTTTGCATAATTAGGGAAGTTAAAAATGTAAAACATTAAGGAAAATTATTATAAGTATTTTATTTATCAAATAAAAAAAAAGATTTTTAACTATATTTATTTATTTTATTTCTCTCACGAAATGACAACATAATAAAGTTTACAGCTATATAGGTTACATTACTTCACGCCGGATCAGCGATTAATGCTTTACAAATCTCAAATCCGGCCCCATATGAAGTATTGCTGTTACTTATGAGCACCTAGATACCAGCTTGAACCCTTCGACTCAGTGCAGCGGCGAGCTATGAGAATTGTCGATGACCCCAGGCTTGCAAGCGGTATCGAACCCTTAAGTCTTAGGAGAGATTTTGCCTCACACTGTGTGTTCTACCGCTTATACAACGGATTGTGCTCAGAGGAATTATTCAATATGATGCCTGCGGCTACTTTCTATCATCGTACGGCTCGCCATCGACAGGGAGTTCACCCTCATACCTTACAGCCTAACTGGTGTCGGTACTAGGATTACCCGTCTTACAGAATACTATATGTAGATATACTATATAATATATAACCCTGTATATATATGTAAAATATATACCCAATAGTAAAAAAAATAAAAAAATATATATATTCCTATTCATACTATGTATTATAATTTAATATAATTTTTAGTAGGTATATGTATGTATATCACATGTTGTACAACTCACTCATAAGCTGAACCCACAAATCGGATCGATAGTTCTAAATAGGAAGCCAAGCGATTGCATTCTTACTTCTTAAAATATTCATATAACACGCCAGCTGTGTCAGCGTACGGTTTCCTTTCATTAATTTTAAATACGCCACAGATTATAGCTTGTCCACTTCGTATGTAGCACTCCTATAATCTGATAGAGGTAGTATAGGATGTGTCGTAAGTACAGGCAAGCGGACAAGCGCGTATTCGTATGCACTCTTCCGCCGCTGCAGTGTACACACTCTTTCGGATGTTTTATGATTTTACTTTACTATTTGCATGCGACGCTGATTCCTTATAGTGTATATTTTTTTGTTGTTGTTGTTTTAAGCTATAAATTGTAAGCTATTGGTTTTCCAATAAATAAATAAAAGTGTGTTTAATAATTTTGTATGGCTTTTTTTTATTTATATTTTAATTTTGTAATAGATAGATAAATACTCTTTTTTTATGCAACTTACAGTGGCAAACAAGCTGACGGCCCACCTGATGGAAAGTGGTAACCGTCACCTATAGACGTGAGCAGTATCATAGATATAACAAAGTATATTGTATCGCCCATTATACCCCGCTTTCTGAGGACTCAGATGTTATACCTCTGTACCCTGTAAATTCACTGTCACCCTTTAAACTAAAACACAGCTATGTAAACACAACAGCTTCACGGTAGAAACACGAATGGGATAGAGGTGTTCAAGCAAACGACTTTTGAAAAGTCTCCCTTTAGTAAATTTATTGTTTATTTCATTATTATTTCCTTCATAAGATTATAATAATAAACTTAGGAATTGAGGAGGACATAAGTTAAATTTTATCGCGGTCACACGAATGAAGTCGCGGGTAATAACTAGTTTAATAAACCAATTGTTTTGTCTGAGTCAGTAATTTATTAAATTACTGATAATTACAGCGATATTATGATATATGAGGTAGTTGCAATTTTACAGCTGGACTTGTTTCACTGTATTGCCATAGAGTTTTGCAGATCGGTAACAAATTACACAGAACTACAATGTTAGTGTTTATTTAATATTAACTGTATCCTGCGGCTTTGCTCATGTAAATCAGTAAAAGATCCTATGTGCTAAGTTAGGATATAATCTGCCCGTGTACCAAACTTCATTCAAATCCGTACTGTAGTTTTTGCGTGAAAGAGTAATAAACATTTATCCATTGATCGTTACAAACTATAAAAATTGTTAATTTTGACAGTACATAATATAATTATAAAAACTTTTTTTTTTGTACAACTTAGAAAGGCAAACAAGCTGACGGTTCACCTGATGGAAAGTGGTAACCATCGCCTATAGACATGAGCAGTACCATGGACATAACAGAGTATACTGTTTCGCCCATGATACCCCCCATGCGTTGCCATTCCTGAGGACTTGGGTGTTATTCCTCTGTAGCCAGTAAATTCACGCCATATCCCACCCTTCAAACCGAAACACAGCCATGCAAATACAACTGATTCACGGTTGAAACATGAATGGGACAGAGGTACCCAAGCAATCGACTTTTGTACAAAGTCTCCCTCTGGTGTTGATGTACTACTTATGTTTTTGTGGTTCTTCGTAAGTGTATTGGAAAATATGTAAGACTCACCAAACACACATTTATATATAATAAATAAATTGAAAAAATTTTTTTTTTTTTAAATTTACTCTGTTCTACTATTTGATATCTTGTTTATTTATACGCTTATATGCATTCACTTAAAAACGTACACAGGCGGACTTATCCCTTAAAGGGATTTGTTCCAGTCAACGTTGAGAACCTGAAAGGAGAATTGTATATAAAGCATAACGTATTTGGTGCAAAAATAATATGATATATTTTTTATTAATTATTTATTTCTCACCACAAACAAATATAAATTAAAACGTAAAATATTTTAATAAAAATATTTGTGATAGGTGTATTTGGTAATAAGTTATATTATTAGTAGTTTTGTTTTAATTTTACTTAATTTAATATATTATTTTCCATTTGTTTGCAGATTCCCATGTGACGAATCGTAAACTGGTGGACGTGCCGCAGTTCGAGCGTCCAATTGGCAATCACACCTTTCACATCGGCCGAGAAGCAGTCCTCGGCTGTTCCGTGATCAATTTGGGGAAACACAAAGTAAGTTTCATAGGTGATATAGGTTTCGTTTCTTAACGATCTCATTGAATTTCCTTAAAAAGATAGTAGCGATTTGTCTAAAACTTATGGTATTTTTCATAAACCTTCACTTGAGTGTATTATATAGCTACAGTTTAGTACTAATATATCTCTTCTCGTTTGGTAGGCAGAAAGATTTAATTTTACCAGAGACAGACTTTGTAAAAAGTCTTCTGCTTAGACACCTCTGACCCATTCATTTTTCTGCGTGAAGTAGTGTATATGGTATGGCAATAAAATTACAGGGTACAGAGCAGTAACAGCTTATTCCTCAGGACTAACAACGCATTAGAGGTATCATGGGCGGTGCAGTATACTCTGTTATGTCCATAGTCTATATGAGTCGTCTATTAGGTGGCCAGTCGTAGATATATGTAAGGATCAAATATCAAACATCTCTTACTATATCCACTTTTGTAATATAACTACCTAAAGTTAAATTTAGAATAAAAGAAAACTTTTTAAAATATCCTCTAATGTTTCTTTTGTGCAATCAAGGGAGAACCTTACAAGGAGCTAAAACTTTAATTGGCCCGTCTCAACGGATGCGGCATTAATACGTTGAGAACCGTAATTACTCGTTGTTTATTGCCTAGTTACTCGAATTACGGCGGCCATTAACTTTGACGTAATGTTCACCTGTATACTGATGGCAAAACATAGAACTGTGTACTTGATATTAAAATAGAATAACCTTTTAAACGCCAGTTATAAATTGTCTTCAATTAATAAAAAAGAAGTATAATTTTTAAAAAAGTTGATAACTGTTGCACCATAGATATTAAAGAACCCATAGTGATGCTTCTATTCCTTATGGGTAGTGACTTCTAAAGATGAAGGTAGATGCATTCGTATCTTGTAATTTCAAGGCCCTTCAAACTGAAACACAGGCATAAGAAAAGATATTTCAAAACAGCACAAACACAATGGGACAAAAGTACTAAAACTTTTGTAAAAAAATCTTTATAAAAGTGGCATTATTATGGCTTTAATTATTTTAATAATTCCTCTAATTACTCTATTATATGTACATTATATTTATAATAATTTTTATCGCATCTTTTTCCGCGTAACCGAGATCTGTTGATAGACAAGGATAAATAGTAGTCTATGTCCTTGTCCATCCCATAAATGATTGGTTGAGCTGGTATGGTGTCAAGAAGTAACAAATTATCATACTTTCACAATTAAAATTTTAGTAAGTTTTATACTAATAGTATAAATACGAAAGAAAAAGTATAAGAACATTTTTTGTTCAAGTAAACTTAATTACCAAGCGTGGCAACTATTGGCAAAACCCCCCTTATGGTAAAGGCTTCTGTTCAGCAGTGGACAGTTAACTATTGATATAATAATAGATTTTTAATAATTATTTATACATAAACATCCACTTAGTATTAGTATATGTATGTGTGTCTGTATGTATATGTATGTGTATATATGTGTATACATGCATATCTGTGTATATGTATGTATAAAGATATAAGTTTAGTATATAGAATTAGGATATAAGTTTATAATTGTTTAAAAAGCTGTATGTACTAGGGCGCAAAGCTGCAGACAAACTGCAATGCAGTTTCGCAGCCTTAAGAATATATACTGTCTATGTAACTGTTTACTTGAAATAAATAAATAAAATAAAATAATTACAAGCATTTTTTAATAGTAATTTTTAATGATTCTATGAACTCATCATAATCATGAAAGTTTGTAACGATGGATGGATATTTGTTACGCTATCACGCAAAAACTACTAAACGGATTTGAATAAAATTTCGTACATAGATAGTTTACATTCTAACTTCGCATACAGAAAACTTTATGTAAACCGCGGTGTACAGCTCGTATAAGAATATTGCACAGCCATAACGTTTCTTTACTTACTTTAGTTCGGTGTAAAATAGTACCTACTATCTTCAATATTCACATGTTATAGCTTTCTTGCTTTGATGCCCATGTTTTAGTGGGCTACCCAATTCCGTGGAGTACCGTGGGCCCCGAACCAATAGTAGTTTCCAGCAAATGGGTCGGGTGTTAAATGATGGGCAAGTAATAAACTATAATGTACTTCGAATTTTACGATCGAAAATTGTTTGCGGTGTCCATAATTTTCGTATATCATAGTTTCGTACCGCAACATAATGTTGTAAGGGAATTTGTTTCGTTTTGTATCATTTAGTAAAATAGGAATTAAATATTAAAAATGGATGGGATATTTTTTATATGACTGAAGGTGGCAAATAAGCATATAACTTACCTGATGGTAGACGGTTATCGTAGCCTATGAACTCCTGCAATATCAGAGACATTACACGTGCATTGCCGACCCTAAAGAAATATCTTCACCTTTCTCTCTTTGATTTTATAAAGAACTCCATGCTGTAGTCACTTAGAAAAAGCTTGACAGTGAGTTTATTCTATAACTAGAGCGTTCATGGATTTATAACGCTCTACTTTACAATTAATTTATTACAGTTAAATTTACAAGATTGGACAATATTATATTGCAAAAATTAAATGCTATAGGCTATTATTATTATCTTACTAAAATAATAAAATTATAATTAGATTATACCTATATATGCGAGATATTTAAGAAAAACTGAAACTACTCCTTTTTGATATTCAGTGTAAAATTGAATTGTTAAAAATTCCATGTAAATGATATTTTTGCCTAGCATCCCGCCCCGGCATCGCATAGTTAGAAGATGACTAATTTTTTTTTAATAAAATATAAATTTGAACGATGGATGGATTGATAGTTTGTTGCTCTTTTACTCTAAAACTATAGAATGGATTTGAAAGAAATTTGGTACACGACTAACTTACACTTAGCACATAGGATATTTCGTCATAGTCGTAGAATACTGACGAATCTTTATATGTAAACTTTGTCAGATCCGTCAGTATTCTAGGACTATGACGATTTTATATACTTATTTACACGGGTAAAGGCGCGGGATACAGCTATTTAGAAATAAAATCTTTCCTTTTATAATAACAGTTTATATATCCCTGGTACTTGTTCAAGTTCAATTAAAGTCAGTTATTAATTTCCATCAGTGTAACATAAGCTTATTTTCATTCTAAATCACATAAAAATAATAAGACAGTGCTTTACTTTATTATACCAGAGGGAGACTTTGTGCAAAAGTCGTTAGCTTAGGCCCCTCTGTCCCATTCGTGTTTCTACCGTGAAGCAGTTGTGTTTGCATGGTTGTGTTTCAGTTTCAAGGGCAAATGGCAGTGAATTTACAAGGTACAGAGTAATAACACCTGAGTCCTCAGGAATGGCAACGAATGGGGGGTACCATGGGCGAAACAGTATACTCTGTTATGTCTATAGTACTGCTCATGTCTATAGGCAACAGTTACCACTTTCCATAAGGTGGGCCGTTAGCTTGTTTGCCATTCTAAGTTGTATAAAAAAACTTACTGTAAAAAGGGCTAGTTAGTACATATTTATGTTGGTCTACAAAAAGTTATCTCCGAACGTATAAACAGCAACAAAAACCACGGCCATAATAAAAAAACTAAGCCATTAATGTTTATTTGTTGTGTCCGAACTACTGTTCTAATTAAAGAGTAGACATTAATCTCAATTGTATGGCTACTTCAATAATTCATGTGCCATTACATGGATTGGTAATGTACACGTTATATGAACAAATAGAAACAGCGTTGTACATAGTACATTTATTTATTTTTATTTTATTTAATTATCATTCAAATATGTATATACAAAAAAAATCTCTTAGGCTTTGTGTATGGCATTTTACATTTCGTTCCCATCAGTCTCCGATCGCTATTTAGTCCACGCACATTTTGCAACGTAAAGATAGTCAATGTTCGAGTGTTAAACAAAATAATTCTTCTATTGTCTACATCATGCGAACGAAGTCTCTTTGTTAAAAATTAGTATTAAATAAATATATTGATATTAATAAATATCACTAAATGTACCTGATATAATATTTTGTCTGCCTGAAATTTTTTTCTCTTTACTAAAATATCCTAAATAGGAAAAATCGAAACTATTACAGGCAGACTATCCGTAAAAGCTGTAAAAATGTAAAAAATTCAGTATCATTAAATTCAGTGAACGGAAATAACATTATCCGATATGCTGAATAATTACTTAGTCATTTATTTTTACCCGACTGTCGAAAAAAGAGAAGCGATATTTTTTGAATATTTTAGATTCAGTATTATCAACCAGCCTATGTTAGAGTATAACTAGTTTTATTTATACGCATTTGCATGCAAATTGGAGGAAGTAGTTTGTGTGTTAAGATATTATGGTCTATTTATGTACTAAATTATATATCATATTGTTCAGCTGTTTATGTGTAATTAAGTAATAAACAAATAAGTCTTTACAAACCGTTACATTCACTCGTAATTGCTAGAATTACGTAAGACTAGCTACGTAGCTCTTCTTCTTTCTTCTGGTTGTTGTCCCAGTACATTTGGGGTCTGCTCTCCTAGTAGTCATGCGCCAAACCGTATGGTTACACTATGTATTATTCTTAATTATATTAAGATTTTGCTCCGTTTTAGATATTTTTTTAATAAATAGTAATGAAATGGTAACTCCACCTGCAAAATCGGAATACACTGGAGGGGCACCAATGAGGGGTGACTAGTGAGGATGAAAAGGCAGGTCAGTTAGCTCATCGCGGCGAATTCAACGATAAATTAATCACGATCGTTTCCAGGGGGGAACCGCGTGAAAGTCGATCTGGGCCTCTAGACAAATGGCAAGCGAATTCGTCGATGGAATCGACATCGCTAGCGAGTCCGTGAGTTGGAATGAGTCACCCGGCGTTGCTATCTCATTCTATCTCACGGACTGGCTAGCGATGTCGATTCCATCGACGAATTCGCTTGCCACTTGTCTAGAGGCCCTGATAGGATATATTGATAGCAATGGGGATTAACTTCCTTATTACTAACAATCC